TTTCTGCAACGGCAGGTGCCACCATGTATTGAGAGCTATAAGAGAACTCACAACCACGCCCAGCTGAAGGGGTGAAAGCATGAATTCATACTCTGGACATTCAAAGACTTTCCTGTCCTCAAAGACTTTCCTACTTGGTCTAAATGCTCGTTTAACATTGTTGGTTAACAATTACTCCATTCTACTCGTTAAAGCAGCTCCCCCTAAGGATGCTTACGGGGCAAAATGTCATAGAATTAACTCGAACTCTATAAAGCTGGACATCAATGTATGTATAACACTCTCTCCAGCTCAGCCCGAGTTCAGAGATTGTCTACCAGACCTAACCATAGCCTCGATGAGCATTATCAGCCAGGATTTTCTTTGAAGCTCTGTTTGGAATTTTTCAGACTGGCTCTTTCTCCTCATGGCTCCTGCTTGAACAGGGACTAGAAATTGTTGGCTCATGCTCCTCTTTATCCTATGGTTATATTTGGCGTCTCCTGACTTCCTTTCCAACCCCGTTAATAATAAAATGCTAACAGGCGGCACCACACTTCCACATACCACACAACTATGGAGTATAAAATATGGCAAGCACTGAATTATTCAGTAAGTGAATAATACCATGAAGATATGCTATATCCCAGATACAAAGCTGCTAGCTGGGATGACGTATATGGCATCTGTCCTTGTGAAGCTCTCCCTGGTGGCTGCATATCTGTTGCCAGGAGCTATCCAGTCCATCTTAAAGAAGGCACAAGCTGCCCTTTCAGCACGTGAAAAGTCTCCCAGATGCAGCCTTTTTCCAATTATGCTGATTGTTCTTCCCACGCTTAAGAACCACACGCGCTATGTGCAGTCTTTCATATGTGGGGCCACCAGTAAGCCAACTGCTGTGCACAGGTCAGATGTCAATGCTAGCTCCATCCGATCCCTGCCCTCCTGGTTCTCACACATCGTGGCTTGACCCTCACAAGAAGCAGCTGTGGGATTTAGTTCCCATCATTTTGTGCCCATTCTTGCCATCAGCAAAGTCAATACCTGGCACACATGGAAAAAAAAAAACTGTGTGGTAAGAGGCTCAAAAACAAGACCACTACTGTTTGAGAAGAGGCACCACATCAGCCTCTGGGAACTCTGTTCTTAACTAGGTGTGCTCACAGTTATTTTTCTGGAGAGCAACACCTTACAAAACCTTGTATTAAAAGAAAATCCAAGCAGTACAATTGGCTTATGCTTTCTAAATAAACTTTCTTTTAGGAAAAGAAGGAAGCTGAGACTTAAAATTGGAAATGTTCGAGACAATTTTGGGTTATGTGGTCAAGACACTAATTCTGTGACCAAGGGGTTTCTTGGTCAAACAGCAGCTCTCCAAAAGGAGCTCAGTTGATGGGTAATGTTGCTGAATAAAGAGCTTCTGAATTCCAAAAGTAATAGACTTGAGCAGGGTCTCCACACCTGAGGAGGCCCAGATGATGGGGAAAGGGGGATCTGAGTTATAAAGTGGAGGAGAGAAAAATAAAGAACAAGGGAGATGAGAAAGGAAGAAGAATAAAACGTGAGTCAAGAAAGGCAACCGAAAGCAAGAGAAAGACCATGGCTTCATATAAGGAGAGGGGAGGGGAGGGAAGGAGGAAAAAGGAGGAGGGGAAAGGAAGGGGAAGAAGAGGGGAGAGGGAGGGACAGTACTGAGAACAGGGACAGAGAAGATGCTGGCAGTTGGGAAGTTCAGGGACAGACCCTATGTTTTTGCTCAAAGCTTTGGAACAGTAAAGATGCAGTGACATTGTCAGAAACCAAGTTTGCAGATGTTCTGAGACAGGCATGGTGGTCTGCATAGAACAACAGGACTACACACATGGCCAGGTGCTCCGCCCAAATCTGTGGAAACCCCATTTTCCGATACGGGGCGTGCTTTCTGAACCGAACTGCAAGACTGTATCAATATCCTAGGAGTTGAACAGACACACACACAGAGACCAGGATCATTTGCCCAAAGGGTAAATGTCAACTTTATTAAGCACATGTTGGATATATATACTTGGGGGCAGAAGGACGAGAGCCCCCTCCCACCTGGGAGTGAGAAGAGGGTTGTTGGCTGCCTGGCGCCAATGGCTGTAGCTTCCATGTAGGGGGTATCGAGCTGGGAACCCTGACAGACAGATGGGAGGAGATTTAGGGTGCCTGTGAGGACCTTCTTAGCAGGTGAAATTATCATAGCAATGACAGAAACAAGGCTTTGAACTAATTCCCTTTGGCTGGCAGAATCGAGCAGGGGAAGCGTAAACATTTCTTGCATCTTGTGCTTTGGCCGAGGAACAGGGAAGACAGGGCCCTACAGCCAGGTCTCAAGGGTCTGACGCTGGTCTCTTGGGACCACAATTCTTCCTGTGTAAGCACATCCCATGGGCCCCTGGGATGCCACGGTCCAGTGAGTGGTTAATCGTTGATTTTCTAAGTATTTTTATGAAGTCTTTGAAAATTCCTACATGCATACAATGTGTTTTGATCACAGTTGCTCCTCATTCCTCCCGTCTTCCTCCCACCCAGCCTCACCTCACTTCATCCCTTTTTCAGTTTACACCCTTCCGGGTCCAAGCAGTGCTGCCATACATGCATGGAGATGCACCACCCGCTGGAGAGCAGCAGACCCGCAGGGACCACTCTCCTCAGGAAAGCTGATGATCTCTCCCAGAGAAGTCACCAGCTGCCAACAGCTCCTCAGCTAGAAGTGGGGGCTCATAAGTCTCCCCACCTCCGTGGTGGAATGTTCACTGACTTGACCATGTCTAGGTCTTTCATGTACAGGCAACCACAGCTATTGAGCTTGTGTGTACAGTAGTCCTTCAATGTCCCAGAGTCACTGTCTCATCTTGGTCTTTGCTGACCTCTGACTCTTGCGATCCTTCCACCTGTCTTCTTTGATGGTCGCTGAGGGGTGAGTGTGTGATAGCCCGCCTGTGACTGAGGTCTCCACAGACACAACTTCTCTGCTCTCTGAATCGTTGTGAGCATTTGCATTAGCCACATTCTCTGCACAGAGAAGTCCTCTGAAGAGAGCTGAGAGCCGCACTGCTCTATGGGTATATACGTTGTTAGACGGCAGTTGGATGCTATTTTCATTTAGCAAAATAACAATAGTAGATTCATTGCTGGTGCCTATAAGCTCCCCAGTCGGGGGCTCTTGATCATATTTATGGCACCAACAGTATGGTGCATGTATCTAATGAACAGTTCATCTTCGTTCAACTTTATTGAATTGTGAAGCACTCACAGGAGTATCAACGCACACCTCTGCGTGTGTCTATGAGGATGTTTCCAGAGATAAGACCTTGAGGGTTCTGACCTAATGAGTGGTTTCAACTATCCATGTATTCAACTTCTGAATGACATTTTGGTAGAGCGTAGAACTGTGGAAGGGGTGATCGGGAAGTAGGCCACTAAGGGTGTGCCCTTGGGAGCCACATCTTGCCCTGGCTCTCTCCTGTCACTGCTCTGCCAAACTCTACCCTCCATGATGAACTGAAACCAGTGAGCGAATGAATGAATGGGTGAAGCTGTCCTCCCTCAAGTATTTCTATCAGGTATTGGTCACAATGATGATCAAATGTATGCCCTACCAATGGCTTTAGCCATTGACTGGGAACATCTATCCAGAAACTGCCTCCCTGGTGCCTGTCCGTCCTGCTCCCTCCAATATATTCTACCCAAGTTCTTTCAAGTATCTCTCCTTCCCAGGAAGCTCCCCCAGGGATTCAGACACCTGATCATTTACCTTGACCACATCACTAGGTGGGTAGGACACGACAAACCACCAACCAACAAGGGCAGCTAGACATCTGAAAGGGGACCTTGGTACACTCACTTCTCCATGACATCCCAGGACCCTGGACGGCTGGCCATGTTCCCACTGCCCATATGAAGAAAGAATTCTGGTCCCAAGAGGTAGGCATCAGATTCTCGGAGCCTGATCATGGCGTGTGGCCGTCCCACACACTCAGGTTGCTCTGTGGACACGTGCACACTTGGTTCCGACACAGTAGCCACATTTTTACTTTGTCAAAGTTTTGACAAAAGTAGGCTCATTTGGGCCCCAGCAAAACACATCACTTCTTCTCTGCAAGGCTGAGTCAATGTTGAGGGTCAAGAGTGGCTGCAAAGAAAGCACAGGCCTTTTGCTCAGGGAAGCAGACCTGACAGTGAGAAATACTTATAAACTGAAAAGATATATATATATATAATATAAAATATATATAATATATAATATTTTTTTTTATATATATATATATATATATATATATATATATATATATTACCTGGCAGGTCCCTGCCATGTTCAGCTGTAAACACAAACAGCATCTGGTCTTGTCCACACAATTCCTCCTCGCAAAGGATGTGTTCACCTATGAATATTCTACTATTATGCACCCAAAAAACACCCTAGCACTCCTCCCAAGGAGGCAGAAGGCCGCTTAGTTACTGAATTTCACTTTAAATGTTGCAACAGACCAAAAGGAAATGAACAAGGGAGATGAAATGAATGTCACAGCACAGTCTTTTCTTGGAAGAAGCGACTCTGCCCTAACCCTGGGAAACCTCCATATCCAGGCAGTGAACTTGAAAGCAACAGGGAACCCCTGCCCAGTATCCACTCCCTGATGCCACCACACCCTCCTCCACTCACAAGCATTTACCAACTCAAATCTGAAATCTCTGCTGTGTAGACAAGGCTCTTGCTCCCACCTGCAAATGGGGCTGAAACTCAGAGCTCCCATCCCACCCTACCCAGAAGGCCAGTGTCTCCACAGTGTTACGACGAGGTCCTACCCCTCATCCCTCATGTCCACTCCACCCCTCAAGTAAAGAACACGGGAGGCCCCAAAATACAAAGAGCTATGAAAAGGAAAAGCGAGGCGCTCTTCCCTTGAGACAGCTCGAGGGACAGGCAATGGGGCATAGACTGCAGAGTCCCGTCCGTTTGGGCTTTCCCTTCCCCCACCATTCACTGGGGTCTGTACCTGGATCTGAAGTCACTGATGTTCGGCTCTGGAGAGCTGTTGCTGTCATTAAAGAGCCCAGTCCAGTTGGCCTGCTGGTCGCCCCTCTGCCAATCAAATTGGAAGCCTCTGGCAAAAAAATGAGGCAATCGATATATACACTCATATGTTAGGTTAGGCTTGTCTAAGAGCCACATTCTGATGTTATAACCATGCGATACAATTCTTTGATTATATACCAGAAGAAGAAGATGGTGATAGTTCTATTCATGGGAATGATGGTGGGAAGCATGGCCCTCTGTGCCCTTGATGATAATTCTATTCCTGGGGATGATGGTGACAAGCATGGCCCTCTGTGTCATCTTTCCTGCATCCTTCCCTTACTCCATCGTTTTCACATTTTACAGGCAGGGAAACTGAGGCTCACCGAGACAAAAGTCACAGGGCTCTTCTACCTCCTCTCTGGTGCCCTCCCTTAATTCCTGTTTCTAGAGACTCAGCTGAAAAGAATTCTATCACCAGTACTGTGCCAGACCCAACTTCAAAGATTTTAACACCCATGCGAGGATCCCACTTCTTGTTTAGGAGGATGGACTTTGCACATTTGTATCCAGTCCCTCCCAAACCTGAGGATGATGGCAGCCAAGCAATGAGTCAGAACATGAACATGGGGAGGAGGTAGCCAAAGGGACCAGAAGCAATACTGAAAGACAGCAAGCAGATGGGCTCAGGTCAGAGACAGCAGCATCCTGATGGCCTTCAAGAAGTAGATCCATTCCTAGGACATAACTCCAGAAGGAGCAGGAATGCGGAGGGCCAGGGCACACAGGTGGGCATGCGAGATGGTACCCAAAGCAGGAGGACTGAGTTACATTTATAGAAGGAGCATTTAGGTACCCTCCCCTACATGTGTGTACATGCAAACCCTCACATACCAGGTCCCCTCCCCACATTCCCCACAGACAGCCATCAACTTGCTCCTGGGGAAACTGGCTCATGGAGGGTTGCTGTAGGCAGAGTTGCCAGTGTCCAAGAGCCTGGCTGGGAGCTCTAGAATCCTGGTGGCGCACTACCCGACCTGAACCTCTGGTCTGGTGAGGATTGTGACTCTCATAAGGGAAAACTGACCAGCTTCTAAAATGCTGAAGAAGAAAAGGGGGCGCCCTCTGAAGTACCTTGGGGCAAACTTTCTCCAGCTAGCACTGTGAACACCTGAGGTTGAAGAACCCTTTGTTATGGAACTGGCTTGTGCTGCAGAAGGTGTTGAATGATGTCCCAGCTCTGTCAGTTGTATCTGGCCTCCAGCTCGCCTGTTATGATTATCAAAGTGTCTCCAGATGTCAATAATTCCTGGAAGCAAAACCACGCTTACCGGGAACCACTGCTATCCAACAAAGCATAGAGTTTCCAAAGCCCTCCAGCAACTGCCTGGCCCTCACATACGAGGCAACGAGTGACCACTTTTGGTAACGGAAGCTTGAAATTCAAAGTCAGAGTAGAATTAAGAAGGAAAAAGGGAGCTGTGGGTTGGGGAAGAAGAGAGAGATGAGAAAACTGGGGAAAATAGACAAAAAATATTAATAAGTAGCCTCTTAACTACAGGATGGGGACAGCGGATGGTTTTTGGAGTTGCTTCATCTGTACCCCTCCAATCAGCTGATGGCCTTCTTGTGGACTCTGTCCCCATATTTCAAATGGAGGAACAGCCTAGGATGTCTCTGGAGTCTTTGAGTAAAAGTGTCATGGAGGCGAGCCATCAGCTCTTGTTACCAGTCAGTTCGCTGAGGTCGTTTTTCTCTCTTCAGATGGAAATCCCCAGAAGACAAGGAATAGCAGTTCAGAACTGGTAGGCCTGGACCCTTGAGTGCCAAAGGCTGGGGATCCTGGAATGGCAGATCCAGACGCTTGTAACTCTTAAACCCTGAGACCAGAGGCTTGTGGCTCCAGCTTCTAGAAGATGGAGGCTCACAGTTTTGAATGCTCTAGTCATAGGCTTACTGCTCTGGGCCTCAACTAGCAGCATCTCAGCACTTGGCAAGTAGCAACGGTTGGGTTATTAGCAGCTGCAGTAACAGCACTCAGTACCTGCCTATGCCACACTCCCCCAGGGTGCTGGAACCCTGGGCCCTCAACAGCACCTGTAAAGACCTCTGGAGTCTTCCGGTAACTGGAACCCAAAGTCTGCTATAAAGCCTTCAGTCTTCTGCTTGCTTCTCCATCTTCTTCTCTGTCTCTAAGCTTTCACCACTACCTCTACCTCTGCCCCCTGCAGGAGGTGCTCCAACTCATGTTTGAACTCTTCAGCCAGCTTCTTGCTGCTATTGCTACTGCCACAGTTGCTGCTACAGCTGCCATCATTGTCATAGCCATGGCCACTGTGACCCACTCCTCACATTATCAATTTGGCCTGTCCTACCCAGGACAAAGACCACAAATAAGCAAGAGAAGACCACTTAGCGACATCTTTTATTGGAACTAATGGTACAACACAAGAAAGCAGAACACAGAAGACTCCCTTGCTGACTCAAAAAGCACAGGACACAGCCTAGTGATATTGCCACACTCAGAAGGGGCGTGGCATGCAAGTATGGGATTGTACTTTGCACCAATAACATCACACCTTCCAGTTTCTCCTAGACCAATCACAATCTTTCCTGAGAACTAATCACAAGTCATATATAGGTGCAACTGGTGTCTGTCAACCGCAAGCTTTTCACTGAGTCACTGGGGTGTACCATTCCTCATTCTACCTGTTGAAGGTAGGGCAGAGAACTCCACAGCTACAGTTGAGGATGGGGCTTCAAGCCTGGTCATCTGGAAATCACTGAGGCCTGGAATGGGCAGAGTGAAGTTCTCCGGTGCTGCCCTAGACTGGAGTAGACGTAACTGGAAGACGGCTTCCTGAACATTCTAGATACCAGTATAAGCAGTAGTGGAGTTTCTCCAAGGTGTCCCTCAAGTATTCAAAGCCACCAGGCTGCCATATAACAACCCAGTCGGTCACCTGAAGAGGAGCTTCTGAGCTGACTGCTCGCTGCCTAAGGGAAAAGTCCAGCAACTGTCAGTCAAGTAGGGTAAATGACTGACTTCCCACAATTTTGCTCATTCACAAGGGGACAAAAATTAAAGCATACTCACAATAAAGACCTAGCAATACATAGTATTTTCAGTCTAGCAGTGCTGAACACCCAGTTATAAAACTTTAAGGAAAACCGGGCCCCTTTGATCTGCTTCTTACAGGGCCTACCATCTCCCTCCTTGGGAGTCCTGCTCGCCTGTCACAAGCATGCTGACCTAGTCAGGTCTAGTCTGAATTCCCTTGGGACCTTACTAACGGATAGCTGCATACATGAAGTTCTCACTCTTCTCATGCTTTACGCAGCATGGCGGTTGCTGCTTTTCACCCTTTCCAGCCTCCATAGCAAGACAGCTCAGCCTGGAAGAGGAACAGATAGAGTCCTTGGTTTCAGCCAAGGCAGAAGAATGTCCATCTAGTTGCCGGGCTATTTAGAAAAGAGCAGCAACCCACCGTGGTCTGATTCTACAGTTGTACATCGATATGTTTGTTGAAGTGAGTATGTGTTCTTTGCTCTTTAAGAAATCATGAGGTATGTGTTGGCTTATGGGTGTGGTTTGCTCAGGGGAGGGGCGTTTGCTGAGCACAGTTAAGAACAAGCACCCCACATGCAGAAGGTCTCATTACCTTCAGTTGCAGATGAAAACCATGAATCCCAGAGAGCTTTAGTCACATGCCCAAGAGCCCGAGGCTAACAAGTGGGCAAGACCACTGCCCAGGACTGACTTTAATAGCTCTTATTTCTAAAGGCCCTAACCAAAACTACCCATAGGCCAAGAAGACCTTTCAACCTGAGATTTTTGCCAACTAGTTGGTTATGCTGATTAGTTTGTTTGTCAACTTGACAGAAGCTAAGGTCATTTGGGAAGAGGGAAGCTCAGTTGAGAAAATACTTCATTAGATTGCCCTGTTAGAGAATCTGAGGGGTATTTTCTTCAGTAGGATTGATGGGGAGGGCCCACACCACTGTGAGTGGTGCCATTTCTAGGCAGGTAGGTGGTCTTGGGTTACATCAGAAAACAGGCTGAGCAAGCTATGGAGAACAAGTGTCTTTAGGGTTTCTATTGTTGGGATGAAATAGCACGACCAGCAAGTTGGGGAGGAAACAATTTATTTGGCTTATACTTCCACATTGTCATTCATCGCTGAAGGAAGTCAGGACAGGAACTCAAGTAGGGCAGGAACCTGGATGCTGGAGATGATGCAGAGGCCTTGGACAGGTGCTGCTTGTTGGCTTGTTCCTCGTGGCTTGCTCAGCCTGCTTTCTTATTAAAACCAGGAACACCAGCCCACAGGCAACATCCCCACCAACCACTAATTAAGAAAGTGCCTTACAGATAGACCTTATGGCGTCATTTTCTCTGTTGAAGTTTCTTCCTTCCAGATGACTCTAGCTTGTGTCTAGTTGACATAAAACCAGCCGGGATGATTGATCCCTTGTCAACTTGACCCACAAACATCACTGTTAAAGTCATTACCTTTCCTTTCTTGTTCACCCCCAAGATCACACATTAATATAAACATCACAATATATAACATTCTACAAACTTAAAAAAGTCCCACAGTCTCTACAAACTCAAACACTTTAAAATTCAGTCTATTTAAAAATCCAAAGTCTCTTTTAAAACCTAAAATCCATTTTAAATTCAGTCTCTCAATTGTGGTTCCTGTAAAATAAGTTAAATACTTTCTTGTTTCAAGAGGAAAGAGCCAAGGCACAGCCACAGTCTGAACAGAGCAAAAACAAACTCCAAAAGTCTCCAATTATCTGGGATTCACTCATGATCTTCGCGGATCCTCCAAGGGGCTTGGGTCACTTCTCCAGCTCTGCCCTCTGAAGCACACACAGCGTGTTTCTAAGGCTCTGGATGGCTCCACTCCAAAACTGTTACTGTTCTTGGTGGTTGTTCCATGGTACTGGCATCTCCAAAAATGCTGTGTTCTCTGCGGCAACTGGGCTGCACTTTCACCAACAGCTTCTCTTGGGCTTTTTTTCACGATGCAAAGCCTCAACTTCTCTCCGTTACCCCTTCAGCTGTGCGCCTTCAATCGC